ACGTATTTGACTCAACTTATTTGACAAAAACTACTATTTCTTACCATAAGTGCCCGGTCTTCGCGCCCTTGTTACTTACTTTGTGCTCTAGGGCAAAGGTAATAAATAGGCACATAGTAAGCGACCAGATAGTATGAAGGACTTTTCGTGTTAAAAAAAAAATGACGCTCCTGCCTGGGACCCAAACATACAAAAGTATCACCCATTTAGCAAGATTTTCTCACTTTTAGTCTATAGTACATATATTACTACTTCTGTACTATAGTACAATATTCAATGATTCTTTTAATATTGTATTCCAAATACATTTCTGCACGTAATACACTATTTACAACAGCGTTTACATATTACAACTGTAGTTTTTTTTAGAATTAGAAGCAAATAATATAAACAGCTGGTCTGAAGAGACCAAGATTATTTTTCTCAGAAAGATTTTAAAAAACTGTACGTTGTAAAACAGGTTACTAAAATAAACAAAGTTATTGGAGCTTAAAAAACGTATTATTATAAGTTTGATATTCTACGAAAGAAGGTAAGGATTGTAGAAAGCAAAATACGGCCAAGTAAAAGTTTACAAAAATCACTAAAGTAAGTTAAGACTTTTACTAAAGTGTGTTTATTATTACTTGTTTTTGTTATGTTTCATTAGTATTATAATTATTATCATTATACCTGCTATTTCCATTATTATTATAATTATTATAATTATTATTATTGTTACTATTATTATTGTAATCACTGTAAGTATTATGTCGTTTCATAAACATGTCGTTCTGCTCTCAGTTGTTTTCATGATGACTTGAGGGTCAGTGCCTAAGCACACAATCAAAAAAAGCTAATTTTAAGACTGTAACGATCGTCTTAACGATATAGACTGAGCCTGATGAGATTAGCGTTAAGACCAACGAAGTGCTGTTCAAACTAACACCTGATTTTTTTGGAGTTCTCATTCGTACTCCCAAAGTTAGCTCTTACTGACCGTGTGCTTAGGCACTGAGCCTCAAGTCATCATTATAGCTATTCTTGTAATTATGGGAGACTAAGCCAAATATTTTCTTGAAACGCTTATAAAAAACTATGTAAATTAGCGTAAGTGTATATGATTTTCGCAGAAAATTATACTGCAGATTAAGTTTTAATCTCAGATGTAAATTATAAAAATGTTATTTTAAAACTAAAGAGAAAACTAGAAATTTTTGAGAAACCCTTGGAATTACGGAATGACTTAAACGAGATTTAAAAGTTGCTTCAACATCTCAGTATTGATATAATATTAAACACTTTTAAATGTTTTGAAGGTACTTTTAAGTATACTTTTGTATGTTTAAAGATAAATGCATGACAACTAATTCTTGACAGTGTATACACATGTGTCTTTTCGTGGTAGACAATTGAACACATATGAATTCTATTAATGTAGAATACAAAATCATTGTAGCTGAGTATAGATTTTAACCTTTTTCAGAGAAAATAATTGCTTTAAAGATTCTTTTTAACTTATTTTATTTGTTAGATGATAACCTACAAAAATCAAAGCACNAAAAAAAAAAAAAAAAAAAAAAAAAAAAAAAAAAAAAAAAAAAAAGTAGCAATCAATAAAAATATTAAATGCAGCTTTTGCAATAAGTTGTGTGATATTTTTAAATGCAGTTGGCACCACGAAGTAAGTTAATACATAGGTCCTGGCCAAGCAGGAGCCGTAGCCCCATCGATTTCCGTCGCCAGCGCGTTACCCGTTACAATTCGATGTTGTCCCCCACCAACAGTTGCCCCGCATTCAATGCATCTTCCACGTTGCATTGCTCCCCCGCACTCGCCAATCGCGTAAAAATGCCCATTGGGACACTTGTACCAGTGACCCTTTGAAAGACCTATGGCTTTCACAATAGTCTCTCGTTCTATTGTAATGCTTGTTCGACTCAATGAATTACAAAGGCCTGTAATTTCTTTTTCTAGTAAAGGAGTAAATCTTCGACTGATACATAACTTATTCATCATTAGATCCATGTCACTATTATTGAACAAAATTTTGTAATTATTTTCTTTGGTGAAAACAATTCCATACTCGGAAAATAAATTGTATATTTGAACCTAAAAAAAAAAAAAAAAGATCAATAAAGAATGCAATCATGGTATAGTACATGAGTAGTGGAGAGAAAATTTTATTTATTAAGTTCGAAGAGTCTTTTATTCACAAAAGCATGGCGAGTTTTCTTAAATTCATCATAACGAGATTTAATACAATCTCGACAAGTACTCGGCATGTAAAGGATAAGGATTAAAATTAGTGAGCGTCAAATACAAAAATCATCGTACCATCAAATGAAGACGTCTCAGTTCCAATTGTACATCTTCCAGGCGTTGCTTCGACATTTGAAGCTTTAGTGGAAGTGATTCCGTCAGTAATAATATTTGTTTGTTTATGAACTCATAAGTGGCGTTAGAATTTATTCTGAGAGACTCTAACACCGAAGTTAGTTCAGCTATTATGTCTATGATGTTGACAATGACATTTATTTCAATATAATTCAAATTTTGCTTCCTTTTGTTTCTCACGGTGCTTCCTAGTTCCCGCAACTTTTCACAGTAGTTTTTCAAAACAGGAAAAACTAAAATTCAGAGAATAGTTTCAGAAAATTGTAATCAAACTCATCATCATATGAAAAAAGAACGCACCTTCCAAAATTTTCTTGTTTTTTATGGTGTTGATGGTTTCAAGACACTTTTTTTGCTTTTCAATTAAATCGTTACTATTGTTGGAAAAGTTTTTCTCTTTGACAGCTGCCAAATCCATCAAATTCCTCTTTATCTGATTCATGATTCTCGTGCAATTGGTGATGGGAGTTTTGCACTTGGGACAAGTTGGAGTCTTGATTTCCACTGCTTCATCGGACTCCGTAGAAACTTGGATCCATCTAAGAAGCCCTTTGCTCTCTATGCAGTGCTTGCATTCAGGTAACAACACGAACCTACAAAAATACACACCCAAATCGCATTAGGTGACTATATCGTAATTGTAAAGGTTGCATCAAGTTACCTAGCGCCCTCATCTTCTTCGTTGCCGAAAAATGTCTCGGTCAGTTCCTCCTTGTCGCAAATTCGACACAAAGGAGGACACGGTTCACCACAGAAGCCGACACACGCATGCTTGCACGCCAACATCTTGGTACAAATTTCGTTGCAAGGTTCGATGTCGCACAACTCGTGACAAGCTTTCGTGCACTTTTGATGCTCACATTTCCGGTCACACGGCTGCTGGCACGGGACACATGGTTCCCCGCATTTTTTGTTACACTTGCTGTGACGGCACTTCAATTGACATTTCTTTGTACACGGCTGACACTCTTTGTTGCAAAGTATCTCGCACCTGAAAAAAATTCAATCAACTTCGTACATGTGCAGCGATGGAAATTGAGGCAAAGTTTAATAAATTTCAATTATTACCTGTGCCCGCATATGAATACGTTTCTACAAGGTTCCTCACAAGGGGAGTGAAAACGTCCCTGTAAACAGCTCCCACAAGTGCCGCTGCACTTATGTTCGCAGGCAAGTTGAATACCACAAGGCTCCGTACAGTACTTCAATAGTGCTTCGGACTTGGAAACTGGTGGGATAAGAAAACCATTTGGTTGGCGAATGTGAGATGTAATTGATTTTTAAACTTAAAAATAATATGGTACGTACAAGTATAGCGCAAGTAACATGGCACTGAAGATACGTGTCCGCAAAGACTTGGTTCCCGTAGTTTGACCAAAGTTTCACATTTCGTGGTACATGGATCTTTGCACTTTTTGACGCATTTATGACCACACGGTAATATTTTGGGGCACTTTTCTTTGCACTTGCCGGGTGTTGCTTCCTCGCAACATTTCACTGTTACAACGTGTCCACATGGACTCTTTTTTTTTACCTTACAACAAAATCATTGCCATTAATTGAGTTTGATTTATATAATCAAAATGTACCCGCAAGCTAAATGCAATTAAATTAAAATGTATTTATTTTAAACTTACTTTTTCTGAACAATTCCCACACTTTTCGGAACATGGTAATTTACATTTATGGTCACAGGGTAACATACGTTGACAAGGACGCTCGCAAAAGAGATTTTCTACGATAGTGCAACACTGGATTTTTGGATAGAAATGTCCACACGAGCGTTTTTTGGAAACGGGCACAGTACACGGTTCACATTTTTCGTAACACCTCTTTCGACAGGTATGATTTTGAGTGCAATCAATATTTTTCTTGACACAATTTTTAGTGCATTGATACTAAAAAATCATCGTATAACCATAGCATAGGGTGAGAAAAAATATTTTTACGAAAAGCATTTATTCGATGAGTTTACCTTGAGGTGGTCGGGATCCGAGCGAGCGTGGCAAATTCCTGCGCAAGAGTGCCCACAAGACAAACGAATTTCACAACCATGAGTACATTCGCACAAGTCGATGGAAAGGTGGCAAGGTTTGGTGGACTTGTGCTTGCATTCAGGGAAAGTTATTTCCACCTGTGGAGACGTAATTACAAGAAATTGTTTTACAAAATCAACCGGCACAAAATTAACGAACTTAAAATGTTTCATGCATCTGCTCAATACACATAATTTACTCTTCGATGGTAGTCGTATTTAAGCTTACTATAAAATATAGATAAAGTAAAGTTGTTTGATAATCACATGCACTATATACGTACATCGACTGGACAGAGATAAGTTTTTGGGTCAACGGAACATGGGATTTCAACGACGTGTCCACACTTGAGCAGTTGTGGTTCTTTAACTTGACAAGGTTGGCACTCCTCCCAACACTGCAAAGGACACGGATGCCGATATCTGAATGCAGAACATCTTTTTATGCAATTTTCTCTGCAGCGGTAGTTGGCGTGTTCTCTGTCCAAAATGTGGCACACGCTTTTGCAATAATGACCGCACTGCAGCAATAAATCACATTTCTTCGAACAACCACCCTCGGGACACTTTTGGAAGTCATCCGCCGATTTTACCTGAATCAAAAATACCACAAACGTACATTTCAATCATTCAAATTAAAGTGTGTACTGATAAAATATACCATACCTCCACACGTTCGCCGGTGTGCAACTGACATCTCAGTTTGAACGAATCACCAATAGCGTCATCTTCTTCCAAAACTTTCTTTATTTTCGGCCAAATGTTGTTTTTGACAACGAGATCCCTCATGTTGCCCATGACATAGAGACCATACTTGGCACGTGATAAAGCGACGCAAACCCTGTTCTCCTCCTTCAAAAACCCAACGTTTCCCGCTCCGTTGTTGCGCACCAAGGACAACAGGATGATCTTGTTCTCCTCCCCTTGGTAATTGTCGACCGTTGTTATGCGTATTTGTTTCGCAAGAGCGTGATTTTTGACTTCCTAAATGGTAAAAATATATTATTATCAACATTTAATGCTTCTGTTGTGTGTGTCGCAAACGTTCCTCGATGAGTCCATCGAAACTTACTCGCATAAACGTGAACAACTGTCCAGTGTACGTGCAAAGGATGGTGATCTCGGATGGCTGGTAACCCTGGAACAGCAAGTGTTTGGCAAACGCGAGGAAAAACTTCACTTCGTGCTCGTTTTTCCAGCTTTCCTCGTTATTGTGACTCTCCTCGGGCCACGAATGATTGAGGAAGAAAACGTTCTTCTCCACGCCCTTGACACTCGGAAAATCCCGAACCACTTCGTGGTTGTACAGCGTCGTGTATATCGACGGGGTGATCAGCTTCGAGATTTCCGGTCGCATTCGGTGCTGGTAGGCCAACTGCAGACACTCGCCTCTGATGTTGACCATACGCTCGAACAACGACACGTTCAGGTTGTATTTGATGCCTAGTTCGTACACGGAGGCCTTGGGACGAAGCTGCTTGTGGTCGCCGATCAAAATAACGTGTTGGCACTCATTGGTTATCGAACAGACCACGTGTGCTTCCAGAATCTCCGCTGCTTCTTCCACCAAAACTTGAAAATTCAAAAAGTACGTAATTGTATTAATGTTATTTCACCAGCTTGGGATTTGTTTTTACGATGTGTACGTTCGACATTACCTATCGGCGCTCGAAGAGTTCGCAGGGACGACTGCAGTCTTGCAGCGAGTGTCGTTGTAAGTCCGACTATCTCGTGTTCTTTCATGACTTCCGTGTCAAGCAGCTGTTTGATCTCTTGTAGTTCTGCATCTTTTTTACGGTGATCCTCCTCCAATTGGAACAACTTTTCCGACGTTTTCTCGTAACTGGCGTTGACACACCTCCAATACTGATCCCAACGGGGATTGGGAGAACGCGATGCCAATTGATTTGTTATTGGATGCCGTTTTAATTCTTGCTGCAACATTTTTATTTTTTCATCACTTTTATGATACGTGTGTGTGTGTGTGTGTGTATTTATAATAAATAACAATAAATTAAATTACACATATCGACGCTCGCCTTTCCATGATGGTGAAACGATCATCTTCCAATTTTTGAAGGACATCGCGTGCAATCGTCACATTTTTATCTCTTCTTACTTTCTGTAAACACTTATTTATACCTTGAAGTTGCTCATCTAGAATATCCAAAGGGCTCACAGTTTTGTAAGAATCAACGTTTAAATTTGAAAAATCGTGCAGCAAGTCAGCGTCAGTGTATTTATTTTCGTCCACTTCCTCGTCTTCCTCATCTTTGATGTCGAAAGCATATTCGAAATCTTTATCGGATTGTTTGTTCGCGGATTTCGGAAGGAACTGAGACACATCAATTTCCATGAGCCAACTGTGAAAATGCGTACTGGTTTTGAATTTGTTCAAAAGAGCTTCGTCGCCACAACTGGAAAGACATTCGATGGGTACGAGAACGTTGGGCGTTTTTAGGTACTTGATGTGCAAACGCAGGTTTTGTATTTTTTGCAAGATATCTCTCAATTCGCCTTTCGTTTTATAGAGCAACACATTTGAAACGCTTTTTTTCGCAACCGTCCTGCGTCTTTCCATCAGCGTATATGGTTTCAAGACTTCACTTTTTGATCTGCTTCCAACACGAAGAATGGATTGGGTGCACCGTTGGTGCAAGATTCCTTCCAAAAATTGATCCAGGGCGTGGTTGGTCAGGCAAACAACCACGATTGGCCCATACTTTTTCCAGTAGTCTTTGTTCTCCAACAATGTACGGACTATTTCCAAGGCGAGAAAAGTTTTTCCCGTTCCAGGAGGCCCTTGGATTATCGCAAACTCCTCCGTCAATGCGCTTCGGAATGCTCTGTGTTGAGACTCATTCATACCTAATGCACTAGCAGATGGCCATTCCACATTTTGACGGTCCACAGGTAAAAGGATACTATTTTTAAAAGTTTGCATGGATACCCCTCTGAGGTAACGAGGCAATTGAGTATCAATTTGAGCTTTGACAAAGTAGGGCTCCATCGGAAAATTGTCACTATTAATATTTTTCATGGCTGTCAAAACTTCCAAATACGGCTCAAAGTATATTTTTGACTCCAGCAGGACAAACTCGGAGTTGTACATGTCCGGAGTGATGATAGATTCTGCACAAGGCATTATTGTGACGTATCCTCTCTCCAGATCCTTATTTTCGCGATTCAAGACAGTGGCGAACAGCACTGATTCAAAGTTATTCCTGCTAAGGAGCAACAACGAGCCAAACATGAGCCGCTTCGAGCGCCGCCAATCAACGTTTTTTATGTTTCCAAAAAATAACTGTACGCCAACGTCGTTCTCTTTGTTTTCGAAGGCAATTAATTTTACGTTCTTGTAAATGCGAAAGTCCGAGTTTTTGTATTTTTTGTCACCTACCAAAAATTCTTGTATACCACTGCGCAAGGGGCTGACAAAGTCTTCTCGCAAAAGACGGAACTGAACGTCCAGGTAATGCTCAACCGAATCGTAGGCTTTTCCGACGATGCACTTTCGCAAAAATGGTTTATCGTCGAACAAATCCTCCATCGTTGGTATGACGCTCAAATTTCTGAAATCATCGGGTGGTTCGCCCACATCCACATCCGTCACTCCAAGCTTGTTCGCTACGTCTTTTTGTCTCATCGTCTCAATGTTTTCTTCCATATCTTTGAGAATGCGGGAAAATTTGGTCTTTATATCGTCGCTAATCTTGTAGTTCTGATTTAATTCAATCATTGGAATAATCTTTTCGATTTTTTGCAGTAGAGGGACCAATTTGTCGCACGCCGTGCGAGGAATGAATTCATTAACTTTTTTAAAAAACTCAAGAAGTTCACTCCAAAACCTGAGCATAAAAATAAATACGTATACTTTGACGTTTGTTACACAAATATATATATATATTTTTTTTTTCAGTACAGACCCGTTCTCATTTTGGTGATAGAACTGATTGTCTATCATGTCCCGATCACTCTCCAAAGTTAATTTCATTAGAAAATGTTCTAATATTTTCAAAAAGTTGGTCGAGCAAGCCTTGCTGAGAATTCTTGTCACGAGCTCTGTGAAATTTGCTTTGCACACTTTCAACAAGACCCTGACAGTCAGTACAACAACATCCGGCCTCATTTCGGTACTTAAAAAGTCCCGAAAATCAGTTTCCCTCTGACTCAGTATTCCCATAATATCTTCATTGGACATCAAGTTTAATTGGTTCATGCGAGTGAAGTGAAAGTAAGGTATATTCTTGTTTTTATTTATGTTTCTGTCATCCCCACATTTTTGATTGCTATAAAAATAATGTATACCAAATTCTCTTGTACAGCAAGATAATAATGAGTAAGTAATAATTGATTGGTTCAACGAAAATCAATGAAAATCAAAGATAAATGGTAAATATTTGTTTTTTTAATTAAATAAAATTATTCAATTATAATTGCAAGATTGATCAAAATGTACTTGTTAAAATTAATATTTTGCCGTCTTGGATTGCCTCTTGATCCTAAATTTGTATTTCTTCGAGGATTTCTCCAGTTCCTGTTATTGCGATCTGTGAAATTAATGGTTTTTAATTTTAAAAGAATAATGTCATTGTTGTGCGTAATGAACTGACTTGGTAATAATTTAGTAGACATTTCATTTAAAAAATTATTCAACAATGTACTGGCAATAAAGATTAATTAATGCAATTTGAAGTATACTGTGTAAAAAAACAGTGCAAATAACGTAGGGTTTATGTAACGTGTGGCAGATTTTGCTTATATGTATTAGTTTTGTAACGAAATATGTGTAAATAGAAATACGGCTTCATTTATCGCGTGTTGTATATTAGCAAAAAATTAAAAGTATATAACATATCCTCGTAATTATATACTTATACATATGAGGAAATCCATAAAAAATAATATAATAAAATGATTTTCATTATTATAAAATAAACTAGTTTATACTGTCAGCAAGTATAATTTTACCGTGCCTAGGGTCAAATGGCTAAAAATACACTGTTATCTTTATTTACTAGTTTTCGTCATTTTTGGCTGTATAAGTATAGATAAAAGTAAACATTAAATTATTTAGTTTAAGAGGTACTTATGCCGATAACGAAAAATCATGTACTTTTGTACTTAATAATTAATACGTGTGAGTGGAAGACTATATATCACAGCGTCGTGACGTCTCCCCAACGGGGAGTCCCCGTTAAAAATAATACGGAGTGACGTCACCCTGTGATGTGATAGTCTTCCACGCACACGTCGAATATGGTATCAGAATTGTATCTCTTATTGTCCGAACGTGCTTCTTTTTTGCAAGTCTCTGGAATGTATGTACTATACGTACATGTGTACTTATACATATACGTATATGTATTTATACATGACTGTTTTGTGTTATTGCGGTTAGTGCGTTAAGCCTTAGTGCGTAAAATAAATCATGACTGGCTGTAAAATTCATATTTTTGAATACCATTGGTGTCTCTTGTACAAAAATATACTACAGTTTAGATATAACTCGTATGTAAGGCTGCGTATACATGGAGTCTTGAACTTCCAGGACCAGCCCATAAGCCCGTGTGAGTGCGAGTGAGAAGCAAGAACATATTACTCTCTTTCCGTGATAATTATGTTTAATAATTATTATTTTTCAATTCGCAAACTATTATTAAAAATGGCTCTAACGTTCGAATGCGAAAAATGAGTCATATTGCTGTATGAAAAATATAGCGCTCCTGTTTGCATAAATACATATATGGAGCTCTTTTGCCTCTGCTTTTGCAGTACCGTTTCAGTTATGTATAATAAAACTGTGCAACATATTATATCTACCTTGTGGGACTGGTGGGTCCTGATGATTTTTTCTCTCATGACCGTCCATGATTTTGGACGGTGTTTCATCAACAGCAAAAAAAATGTTGTATACCTGTATGACGATGCAACAGGTATATGCCAAAACTGTTAACAACACGTTAATGTATGCACGTAACCGCGAACATTCGTATTTTTATCATGAGAAGCTTTTCATTAAATTTTACACAACGTCGCTACTTATCAAATTAGCGGTTTGCGGTCTGTCTCTGAATCCGTGTTCGACTGGACACTGACTCAGCCCGTGTGTTGACTTCTATAGTATATCTACGTTCACCAGCGTTCACCCTGGGCCAGGGCTGCCATGCTCTCTCTCTCTCTCTCTCGTACCGCACATGTCAAAAATCACTAGAATTCACAGCGAATAAGTTGGCAAGGCAGAGAATCGAATCGAACAATCGACAGCTCACTCCCCACAGTCCGATCTGCTCACTGTAAATGATCCCTAAAGTGCCCTGTACATGGGGTCAAGTGCCATAAGCCCGTGCGAGTAGGTGTTTATAAACTTTTTAATTAAAAATAAAAGCGCGTGCATGCACAGAGAGTATGCCGTGCATTTATACATACGCGGGCAATATCACTGAAACTTTACTATGTAACATCATCTGTGAAGACAATGAATTTTGATTTTTTTCACATTAAAACCTTTACTCTTCAACGTAGAACAAGCAAAAAGTGCATTGCGATGTTACAAGGTGGATAAAAGACGCTTTAAAAAGTCGGATATAATTGATTGATATTAGTTAATTGATTTTGGAGACCTCATAGCTATTCGTCTTACTTGGAAAAAAAAGTACAAAAAAATATCCCGTTGGTATAAAGGGGTTGAGATCCCACTTATACTTGGTCAACTTATTCGATTTTTTTTTTATATCATTTTTTTCTATACGTTAAAGCAAAAATCTTTAGATAAGGGAAAATCGAGCTTTAGCATGGAAGCACATGAAAAATTAATAAATCGTTTTCGTAAGATTTGACCCAAAAGGAAAAAGTAGAGACATCAACAAATTATTTTATTTGACAAAAAATATTAAAAAACTGATCGCAGTGTTGACACTTAGTTTTACGAGATAGAATTAGTAATAAAACAATGGTATACGATATTATTTTATATACTTATACCAACGATTTCTCACGGTACTTTCGAATTTTTTTTTTTTTATATTGACATGTACTTACTTAATTATTCTTCACAATCACAAAAAATTCACCATTAATTACTGTCTTGTTGCATACAGTTTTTGTATTTTTGTAATTAGAAGAATCATAATATTTGCTGTACAATAGATATAATTATGCATGTGCTCTTTTTGTTGTTGAAGAGATAAAAAAATAATTTTATTCCAGAGTTATCAAGTATTGGATAATTTTTTTCATACAAACGACACAATGGTTAATTACTTTAAAATACAATGTACGCTGATTTACTTGTAAGATATTTTATTTTTATCACGTTATTTTTATTCGATAAATAAAGCACGAATTGATAGATAGATAACAGGCAAAGCAATAAAAAGGTTAACACTTAAACGAATAATAAAAATTAAATACTACACATATTAAAATCACACACAAATTTACTAGAGAATTTGGTTAACGAATAAAAATGTATGATCGCTAATATCAAATTAGAGCATACACGAAACACATTTTCATAAAACTAACAAACCACTTCAAGTGTAAGACAATTAGGACATTAACCACAAATTTTATTTACATTCCAAACATCTTCCATACCCTGGTGTTGTTACTTCGTAAAAGTGCCCTTTGGGACACTCGAACCAGTGACCTTTTACAAGACCTACGTCCTTTAAAATAACTTTTCGTTCAATTAACAGATTGTTTTCGTTTGGATGTAATCTTTTTACTCTCGTTATAATTTCATTTTCCATCTTTTTAGAGAATCTTTCGGCACTGGTTAAATCATGGATTAAAATTTCCTGTTCTACATTTTCCATAAATGAAACGAATCGGTTCTTACTATCGTTAAAAATCTTTTTTATTTTTACCTGGAAAAAATAGGGAAAAGTTTTTTAATTATAAAAAAAATCATAGAGTTATTCTCATAGTGTGTTTCAAACAAAACTAATTTACCATTAGATGTAAACGCCTCAGTTCCAGTTGTACATCCTCTAATCTTTGTTTCGATAATTGCAACGTAATCGGCACAGAGGTGGTCAACAGTTTGATTTGATTTTCAATAAATTTGTAGTTACTGGCATTTTTCAGTAACTTCAAAGTGAAGGTCATCTCGACCAATACGTCCAAGATGTTTTTGAAGGCGCTAATCTCGTAATAACTGGAAACTGGATTTCTTCGATTTTTCAGAGCCTTTCCTTGTTTCTCCAAACGTTCGAATATACTTTTCAAATGTGCACAACCTAAAGATAAAAATTGTCTTTCAAAAACAGCAAACAAAAAACTTCAATCGCTTATGATTTATCAAACGGAAAAACTTTTTCCACGTCAATTACCCATTACAACGGTATCGTTCAGCATAGTACTAGCGACAGCAAGGTACTCTTGTCTCTTCGAATCCGCTTCCTTTCTATTGTTGAAAAATATTTTTTTCCTCAACAGCACAAGGCTGGACAGATCCTCTTTGGTTTGGTTCATCAACCTCATGCAGTTTTTTATCGGTACCTCACATTTGGGGCAACACTTCGCTTGGATGGGCCGATCTCGCGTACCTGTGCTGGTTACCGATTTTAAAAGTCTTTCGCTTTCAATGCAATGCTGGCAGTCTGGCAGTAGTATGAACCTGATGTTGAGATCAAAGTATACAAATCTTGATTTATTCAGATTTTTTTTTTTTTTCAACGTAACAGTATTTTCAGTAAGACGCACGTTATATGTTAAATAATAAACATATTTTTTCAAAATGATTTCTTAAAAAATATGTATTATACCTGGCGTCATCGTAATCTTCAGTGCCCAATAGATCTTCGGACAAGATATTTTTGTTGCAAATTCGGCACAAAGGGGGACAAAGTTCCCCGCAAAATCCAATACACGGATGCCCGCACTTTAATGTTCGTTCGCAAGGTTCATCGCACGGCTCAATATCACATGGTTCGTTGCAAAGTCTCGTGCAACGCTGGTGTCGACATCCGTATTGGCATAATTTCTGTGAAAGATATTACCATTTTTTTGTTGTACCTTTGATTGTAATTTTTTTTTTTTTTTATATATGTATATTAAATAAATTATACAACAAGTGCATGTTTGAAAAATTGTTAATTACCAGACATGGTTTACAAGGATCTCCACAATGTTTGTTGCACTGATGATGCGGACACTTTGCATCACAACGCTCAGTGCACAAGCCACAATCTACATCGCAAGACTTCTTACATCTAAAAAATTTGTCACATTTGCGGTAAAAATGAATTTTATCTTGAAAATTGTGAGGAAAAAGAAAAATTCCTACTTGTGTCCACAAATAAACTTTGTTCGGCAAGGCTGCTTACAGGGAACGTGTACTCGACCCTGAAGACATCCACCACAGCTGCCATTGCACACGTGCCCACACGCAAGTTGAACATTACAAGGTTCTTTGCAGTACTTTGTTATGTTCGGTGACTTTGAAGCTAAATTGGTAAAGTTATTTATAAATAACAGTTCATTTAATCGACACGAATATTTTTTACATGTAAAGCTGGCAAATTAATTTTTTGACTTGTGTCAAATGCTTTTTTATGGATTATTTTCAATAAAACAACTATTAGCCATTAAAATAAGCTACAATTATAGTTATAAAAATCGTAGTAACTCGAATAGCTGTATAATTTATGATAATGTATCTATAAAAATATCTTTAATTTGCAGATTATTTTTATCCTGCATCAGAAAATTACTAACGTATTTGAAAGTCATTTTTTTTTTTTTTTTTTTTTTTTTTTTTTAATGTGTATCAGGTCATCGACGATAAAAATTGACTGTTATTTGTATGAAAATTTTTTTACACATTTTCATAGCTAATAATTTTTGACTGAGTAATTGGGCTTATTCAATTTACGTACTTAGCAAGTGGCAAGGCGCTGAAAAAATGTGACCACAAAGTGCAGGTTCGTTTAGCTCGACCATAATGTCACATGCACTGGTGCAAGTATCCTTACATTTTTTGTCACAAACATGTCCACACGGCAATACTTTAGAGCATTTTCCGGGGCATTTAGATGGTGACGCTTTTTGGCTGCATTCCACTCTCAACGTGTGGCCACAGGAGCTCGTTTTTTCAACCTGCCAAATTTATACGTACAATTCAGGTTTGGACAATCAAAAATATACGTCAAACAAATTTTCTTCCCAAAAGAACATCACTACGTAACTAATGATGATTGATAATATTCCGATAGTGAAAATTGCCAAATTGCCAAAGCTTAAATTAAAGACTAAAGATAAATGAAACAAAAAAATTATAAACTGGTGACAACTGTTATAAATTATAATTAATATATATATATTTGAAATTATTTTGCTCACCGCCACAGCGCAGCTCTTGGTGCAGACTTCATTACACTTATTCTGACACTTGTGTCCACAAGTAAGCTTAAGCAGGCAAGGCCTCACGCAAGGCTCGTCTTCTATTATTTTGGAACATTGCATAAAATCATAACGATGCCCGCAAGAGCGCAACTTGCTCACTAGAACGGAACACGGTCTGCAATCTTCGAAACAACGATTTTGACACGTGTGATCACTTTGACAACCGACACTTTTTTTCGTGCAGCTTTGGAAACACGCGAACTAAAAATAACGGAAAAATTTTCCAGTTTAGCAATATTTAACAATTTCTCCAATCTAAAAAAAAAATCATATTTCACCTGAAGGTGTTTATCGTGGCTACACCGTTGACCGCACGTATGACCACAACTTAGGACGCTTTCGCAATAGTGCGTACATTCGCAATCTTTGATTGATTCATGGCATGGTTTTCGCACGCGATGATTGCAATCGGGCAAAGTGACGCTTACCTTGAATATTAAAAAAAATTAAATTAAAAAATATTTTGCACATGTGATAGTACGAAACACTCACAATGACGGGACATTTGAAACGTTTGAGCTCCTCGTAGCAGGGTACATCCACAGTGTGTCCACACGGCAATGACTGCGGGATTTTAACTTTGCACGGATTGCAGCCTTCCCAACACTTTAAGAGGCATTGGTGACCTTTCGGACACTTTTCCTCGCAATTTTTCAAGCATTTGTATTTCTCGTGCTCTCGATCCAATATGTGGCAAACAGAGACGCACGAGTGCCCGCACTTCAACTCTACGTCGCATATTTTTGAACATCCACCCCTTGGACACTGTTTGAAATCGTCAGCTGTTTTCATCTGCAAAAAATACATGAAGTTGGGGTATGGTAGTTGTAAATTTTCAAGTCGATTCAACCAAAAGTTCCGTTACTTTGAAAACTTGATCAGAATGGACTTGGCATTTTACTATCAAACCATCGCCTATAGCTTCGTCCTCCTCCAACACTCGGTTTATCTTTGGCCAAATGTTGTTTTTGACAACGAGATCCCTCATGTTGCCCATGACATAAAGACCATACTTGGCACGTGATAAAGCGACGCAAACCCTGTTCTCCTCCTTCAAAAACCCAACGTTTCCCGCTCCGTTGTTGCGCACCAAGGACAACAGGATGATCTTGTTCTCCTCCCCTTGGTAATTGTCGACCGTTGTTATATTCACTTTATGGAGTAATTGATGATTGCGAACCTCCTGTGGATATGAGTCGTAATTTTTAGAGATTTTACTACTGCAAAACGAAAAAGGGCTGGGTTGAGATGAAAAATTTGACGTCATGGTACGACTAACGAATACACTTATTACGGCAAAGGACGCGAGAGGGGACATTTGGATAAGGAACTTGTACAATAGTAGGTTTGTTCGTATTTTGCGTATTTTGACGTCAAATCACGATCAGGCCCCACTGGATTTGTGTGCAACGGAAATCTAGCTTGCTGACAAAAGTTAGTCATCCAAAATTCAGTTGGAAATTAATATAATAATTGCTCAAATCTACATCAACAACCGATTAATAGAAGAAAAATTGATTTTCCAGTAAGATGGATTTATGTGCTACGAATCGGGTACTGCATATCCCCTTAAAAAATTAATATGGCCAGATTCAACTCACTTTCTTAAAAGTAAACAATTGCCCGGAGTACGTGCAAAGTATCGTGATTTCCGAAGATTCGTAGCCTTGCAGTATCAGATATTTGGCAAAAGCCAACAGGTACTTCACTTCGTGCAAGTTCATCCAAGTGTCGTCGTTGTAGGATTGTTCGCTGTTCTCGTGGTCGATGAAAAAAACATTCCTCGCCACCCCTTTGACATTCGGAAAATCCCGAACCACTTCGTGGTTGTACAATGTCGTGTATATCGACGGGGTGATCAGCTTCGAGATTTCCGGTCGCATTCGGTGCTGGTAGGCCANGGCATGAACACTTATTAATGATTAGCAAGAAAACAAGAGAGCTGACATTAGATCTGGTAGATAAAATTAAGTCATCTTGCAAATTAAATTTAATTCCAGAAAAAAAAGTATGTTCAGACTGTTATCATTTATTAAAAATCAAAATTATTAAATACGAAAGTCAGATTATAGACTATGTTGATTGTACAAAAGGCACCAAACAAAAGTTGTTAAAGGGTTGTATAATACAAACATGAAATATGTTTTATATTTAGGTACATTTTGGACTGATACAAAATTTAATTTGAAAAATCAAATATTTTATGCATGTAAAATAAAGATTTAATCATATTTTATGGAGTACTTGTAGTAAAAAAAAGAGTCTGCATCAAATAAATTAATATAACACAACTCAAATAATCACAGCAGTCTACCTTAATCTGTTGAAAACTCACAAGGTTCATTATTCTAATCAGACAGCCGAAAAATTAAGTCTTAGTTAAATATCAAACAGTCTTCATATGCCTCCGCTAAAGAAATTTACATTGTCTGATAACTGCTTGAAAATACAAGGCAATGAAATTGTGCAAACTGCTTTGAACAATGTTTCAGAGGCCTTGAAGAAGCACATAATGTGAGGTTTACTCATTTTAAGAATTGCAACAAAATACATAAAGAAAATTCTTCAATGAATATAAAATCCATATTTCTTGTAAGTAAATTTTTCAATTATATAGTTATTTTATTAGGAATATTGACAAGACTTATGCGGACAATCACATGTATGTAAGTCCACATAAATCACTATTAATAAACATATATATGTATACGTGTGTGTATGTACTAGTATGTATGCGTGTGTGTGCCTATTTAGGTATATTTAGGGCAAATTTTAATAAAAGAAATACTCTGTACACATAATACGACTAATGGTAATCAATTTGTATGAAATTTGGTGTACAGGATTTTTTGGGATCGCTGATTATGAGCCTGAGATCAGATTTGCTTATCTTAAGATGGTGAATCTAAGAGGCTCATTCGTTTTTCTTGTGACTTTTCAAATTAAATTAACTGCAGCATCTACAGGTATAAGGTTCTAATGCCAAAGAGGTGATTGAAGTTATAATGGTTATTTTCTTAAGCAGTCATACTTTTAAATAATTTTTTCTTTACAGCATACTAGAACGATAATTCAAACAATCAAGATTAATGTCTACTTTTTAACTACTGTTAAAATTAATACTTGTAATGTATTATATGACTAAGAATAATTTGGAAAAAAAATTTTCTTGAATGTCAGAAAAAAAAATGTTTTTTTTACCAAGAACCATACTTCTTAACTAACACCATGCTACTCTTTTGACAAAAACCATTTGATTCTACCATATGGTAAAAAACGCATTTTTAACATACAGTTTTTAGTCATTTACCATATGGTTTTATCTCAAATAACCCCATGGTTTCCAAAAACCATATAGTTTATTGAAAGACCATGTGGTTTTCCAAAGTCATGTGGTTATTTGAAATAAAACCATATGGTAAATGACTAAAAATCATGTGATTAAACAACTTATTTTACCATATAATAAAGTCACAAGGTTTTTTTTAAAAATAGTAGTACAATCATAGTGAGCTTAGAGTTGACATACCAGCTTATGTTATCTAACTTTCATTTTTTTTACTGCTAAGAAGTAATGTTAATGTTATTAGTCATTTAAAGTGTCTACAGTAGTTTGGTTACCTAAATAAAGTATAGTTTTGGAGGTATTCTCGAAGTAAAACGCACTTTACAATTAATACTGAGCATAACAACTGAAGCTAAGAGCAGTAAGATGTATTAAATATTTGTGTTGAAATAGTGTACTTTATAAAAAAAATTATCTTAAAATTTAAAGTCTTAAGAATTGTTAATTTTACTTTTTTCTCATATAATTATTAAGTTAATAAAATGACTTAAGCTCTTATTTGAGTCAGACGCCTTTATATATTAATTTTTCAATACATCTACTTCAGCAAAAGTTATTTGTAATTTAAATAATTAGTTTGACTTGTTACGATGTACGTAATTTTGTTAATTAAAAAACTTTTTGTTTTTATTGGGGTATTAAATTCATCACAAAATACTATTCCGTTTCGGAATACGTTACTTCATTCTTGCGTGGTGTCAGTTGTATGGTTGTTAGTAAAACAAAAAAAAATATTTTTTGGACACTTGTTAAAACTTTTTTTTGCTATCACTCTTAGCAGAAATCATTAGTAATGATTATGATTATTTCAAACTTAAACAATTATTAAATGTCTTAGTTAGGAGAAAAGTTGATAACTACTTGAAAGCTTTATCCAAAGTTTATAACTGTTTATTATTATCAACTAGATAAAAAGTGCCCTACTCATGCAGAGATTTAAATTAACCTTTCTCTTTACCTTATAGAAATACAATAGTTCGAAAAGAAGAACAGTTATTAAGACAACCGTGTTATTTATGTCAACAATTTCATCCTTACGCTTTTTAGTTAAAAAGAATCATTATTACTGTGTCAAATGTGGACTTTAATAAGTGATGTAAATAGTTACTATTAGCTTTTATTCTTCATATTTGTGGTTCCTTAATATCTATCGACTATCATATGAAGAGATGATTTTTACTTTAATACTCCCAAATGCTTACAACTTTTAATTCCCAACCATTTTAAATTTATGATTACTAGGAATATATTAAGTTACTGATATGGTATTTCAATGATTAACCAAATATCCTTAGTATTTATTATCATTCTTTAACTTAAGTTACCTTGCAGACCTTCATGAAGATGATGTCAGAACTATTCTTGTAAGAACAAATATAAATAATGATATAAATGGCATACAAGAAAAAACTATCTGCAATTATTATTTAATTTATTATTTAATTAATGAAAGAAGGTGTTACGATCCATGGCATGAACACTTATTAATGATTAGCAAGAAAACAAGAGAGCTGACATTAGATCTGGTAGATAAAATTAAGTCATCTTGCAAATTAAATTTAATTCCAGAAAAAAAAGTATGTTCAGACTGTTATCATTTATTAAAAATCAAAATTATTAAATACGAAAGTCAGATTATAGACTATGTTGATTGTACAAAAGGCACCAAACAAAAGTTGTTAAAGGGTTGTATAATACAAACATGAAATATGTTTTATATTTAGGTACATTTTGGACTGATACAAAATTTAATTTGAAAAATCAAATATTTTATGCATGTAAAATAAAGATTTAATCATATTTTATGGAGTACTTGTAGTAAAAAAAAGAGTCTGCATCAAATAAATTAATATAACACAACTCAAATAATCACAGCAGTCTACCTTAATCTGTTGAAAACTCACAAGGTTCATTATTCTAATCAGACAGCCGAAAAATTAAGTCTTAGTTAAATATCAAACAGTCTTCATATGCCTCCGCTAAAGAAATTTACATTGTCTGATAACTGCTTGAAAATACAAGGCAATGAAATTGTGCAAACTGCTTTGAACAATGTTTCAGAGGCCTTGAAGAAGCACATAATGTGAGGTTTACTCATTTTAAGAATTGCAACAAAATACATAAAGAAAATTCTTCAATGAATATAAAATCCATATTTCTTGTAAGTAAATTTTTCAATTATATAGTTATTTTATTAGGAATATTGACAAAAAATATGTCTTCGAAAGAAATTTTTAAGTATTTTCAATGTTCTTGTCACATATTAAATAAGGCTAAAAAGTAAACACAAACTGCCGGTTAGTGTTAATT